GAATGTGGCTGTTAGTGCTTCCCATGAAGAGGGTGATGAAGATGATTCTGCAGGCAGTGATTCACATTGTTTTGAGCTAAACAAACCCGGTGCTGGTGACTTGAAACAGGTAGGAGACAAAGCTGGAAGTCATATTGATGAAATCGTGAAGCCAAATCATACAAGGAAAAACTTCACATCTCATGAAAGGATTAAAGATCGTAATCCATCCAGCTTGCAGTTGAAGTTTGAAGAACATATATCTTGGGCCATAGCACATAATGAGAGTAAGAACCAAGTTGAGGAAACGGAAGGACAAAGTGGGGAGGGGAACCCTATTGAAATAAGTGTTTCCAGAAAGTCTGAAATTTGTGAAGCCACAGAAGAGGGTAATTCGGAAAGCAAGAATAAAGTTGTTGGAACTCCTGGATCGAACTCAAATTACATAATTGATGAGTTAATTAGAAACCAGTATTTAATGTCAGAAAGTGGGAATTTGCCACCTGATAGGCAAAATGGTTATGGGATAGCTTCTTCTGGTAATTCTGCATGGAGTCATCCGAGTCCAGTACGACAGTGGACAACAAGGCTACCATCCCAAGATGTTGGCGTATCTGAGTCGTCCTCAAAATTGCCTGCAGATTCAAAGGAGAATACTTTGAAGGCAAAGCTACTTGAAGCAAGGACACGAGGTCAGCACTCACGCTCACGCTTAAAAGCCTCGAAGATTTCCTAGGTCATGACATGTTTATCTGAAAGCTTCATAAGTTCCTATCAGGCTTGTGGGATTGGTTGAGGTCGGACTTCTGGTTTGAGAATTTGTGCTTTGTGAATATCAGCTGATGCAATAATACAGAAATTTGGGTTAATTCCCATTATGTTACTACTGTTGCTGCTTGCGTTATTTTTAATCGGAGAGGTGACCACAACATCAGTTTGTTCAGCTTCTCTAGAATTCTTTGATGGCATCAACAAGGAATCCGTTTCATCTCCTTGCGTTTTCCCCATAGCACCAGGTATAACCCTCATACTATAATCATGGTGCTTATAAATTCGTACAAGTAAAACTAGTTAACATTGAGATAAGCTATTTGGATCAACTTAGACAAATGATCGAAGTGCAAATAAGGGTTCATGTTGTAATCCCCGTAAGTTAGAGAACAAACGATCACAATAGATTTTCAGGCTTACCAAGTTCAAAAACTAGATAAAATAGAAATAGAATAGAGCTTAAGGTGCATATAACTTAGCTCAAGACACTAGAAAAATGCTAAGCCTTTCCAATGCGATTTGCCAAGCTATCCTTCAGGACATTGGGTAGATGTAAGACGCTACTGCATCCTTCGGGTTTCCTTCGATAATTGAGAGAGTTCGTTCATCTAAATCAATCACAGTTGTGCAAAGAGTGTACAGTATTGGACCTGACAGTAGAGTGAAGAACATAAATAACAGAGTATAGCAGAGGGAGAATGTTCAAGTTCCTTTGAGTTACCTGTCATATAGATGGGGTATTTTTCATCATTCATGTCTCCCAAGAGTGATAGAAAATCATTTTCTGATCCTTTCGGCAGTAGAGCTGCTCTTTTTTGCCTACTCAGTGAGTTCTCATCATCTGCCTTCATCACACAAAACCCAAAAAATGATACTATATTCAATACTCATGGACTACCGCAAGGCTATATTCATGAACAAGTATGTGGTTCTTGAAGCGAAAAAGGTGGCATGTTATTATTTTTATAGTTGTGGAAGGAGTATGGCGGCTTCCTCAGCATGGAACACTCATACTCAATAGTGGCGAGATGTCAATGTTATTTATTTTCACTTTCTATCTAGATGAGCAATGTTACCTACCTGCCTGCTGAATTTGAAGATGAAGGTATGCATTGGCATGGAAGAATGGTGTTGCCCCAACCTCATGAACTGAAACCCGATTCTTTGATGCAGTTTCAACATTCAAAATCCTTCGTGTTTTTACGTCGATCAGATTATAACTATGTCCGACAGAAGCTTCTGATGAATGAATTCTCTGAAGACAAACAAAGCATCTACAATATCAAACCCATTTCATTCTTCGAAATAAGTTTAAAGGAGAGGTGAGGATTAAAAGAAAGCGCTTACGGTTAAAGCATCATCAATGCTTGTTGCTTCAAGCAAGCCCCTGGAGATAAAGTTCCGACCAATGGCACCAGCCACCACCTCATCTTTGGAAGGCGGTACTGAATTCAGCGTAAATGCCTAAAGAATAGCATTTCAATTTTCAAGTAATGAGCAAAATTATTTTATTCATGTCAAAATTACCTCATCTTTCAACACCAGTTAAATAGATTCATTGCTGTCAAAATTATTTTATTCATTATTCATTATTCATGTTGTGCATTTTCGGATTATTATCAAGTAATGAGCAATTTTAACCACTAATTTTAAACATAAACAAATTGTAAATTCAGATGTCTTAAGTTCAAATCTTGATAATTTATTAGGATCAGACCATAAAGGATTTATCCCTCATAAATTTTTTAGTCTCGTGATAACCTATTTTTCACCAAACCAGAGAGAGGAAGAGAATTGGCCAAGGTACGCGTAAGTTAGCTCGAGCCATTAAACCCAAAAAAAAAAATTCCACCCCTGTTCCTCTGCCTCGATTGACTTAGGAAAGATGTTGAGAATATACCAGTCCATGAGTATTAAACCCAAACGCACAGCTTGGAAGCTCTCCTGCATAGGTGTATGCAGTGAAGGATAGTCCATTAGACAAAGTTCCCCTAATCAGATACCTGCAATTTCAAATGAAAAACGGTCAGTTGTGCTAATTTAATTAAGGTCCCTTATCAAAGAGCTGCTAAATCAAATGCAGATTAAATTCATCAGAAATGAGCTCAAGTTGGGTACATATAGTTCAAGAACAAGCTTACGTGTGGCCAACAAGAGCAACATTGGCGTCCTCGTTATGAGCTACAAAAGCCATTGAATCACTAACAACAAGAATATCCGAGCAATCTTCATCAGTTTCGTCCTTCGAATTTGTTTCTGTCTTGGGAATAAATGGAAGTATTTCCTTCCTGAAGTTGAGCAGTATAATCTGGAATATGACAAGTAGAAAACTGAGACTGATTCCATCAAAATAAAAAGAAAGTCCAATTCTCGTCACGCGTAGTTATAGCCGTGTAAAGAGAGACCATTTGGATTTGGGTAACTAATGGTATTATAGAATTGAGGGTTTGAAGATTATACATCAAGAAGAGGCACGCCACTCCCTTCAGCAGTCCCCAAGAGTTCATCCCAGTACCTCGGAAACTTTTTCCGGTTGGTGTCGGAGAGAGCTCCGATTAGTGGCCGAGACTGGGGGTTTCGAGCAAATGGGAGGAGCTGGTGTTGGAGAATAAGGTCTGTGGCCAACCTGCTTCTTATCTGTGTGCAGAACCTTTGCCCTATCAAGAAACCCATTTGATAAGCGTTTTCACAGGGCCCAACTTCAAACATCTCCAACCTTTCCCCTTCCATGCTTGAGTTCTCCATATCAGCCTCTGTGTGTGTGGTTGTATTGTACGAGGATAAATTCATTTATATTTTATCCATGTCCAGCAAAAAAAATTGAGCAATGGTACGTGGATTTAAAAAATATATTTAAAAAATATATTTAAAAATTAGACTTAATAATCTCAATTATTAATTTTATTGTGAATCCTAGTATTTATTAGGACCCACTACTTATTCAATGATTGAAATTATCAAGTCTAATTTTTAAGTTTATTTTTTAAGTTCACGTACCATTACTCAAAAATTTTTTATGTCCCAATAGAAGAGCAAAAAGGGATGCTAGTGCCAACACGCTAGGAGTTCATGGATTTTGAGGAGTTTGAATTGATTATTTTAAATTTTTTTTAAATTAACCTTATTTTTGTAAAGATGAAATTTAATATTTAATTCAGTTTATACCTATATTTGGTATGTAATACATATACATAAATAACTATTTTATCCTTATTCATTTTAATTCATACCCATGTTAAAAGGTATAATTATTTTTTGAATCATTAAATCCCTTACTCATCTTCTTAAACACACCCTCTCTAAGTTTGACAAAACCTATGATTATAAATTTAATCTTTGGATCAACTACGAGTTGAGTTTGAAAACTTGAAATTAAATTTTTCAAACAAACATAAAATTTAGAGAAACTTTGAATTATTTTCCCCAAGGCCTAAATCCATTTTATCAAACCCTCGTACCCTTTTACCAATCAACCCCTTAAAGTTAAAAAGGATCTGGGTAGTAAGAGCAAAGCCCAACTAAGTGCCTATTTGATATGTGCCATAAGGGGGATTTGGAATATGAGTTGGGAATAAAAATTCACAAAACTCATCAAACCCATGTTTGACAACTAATTTCTAGCTTAGGTTACCAAACTCAGCTCACTTTAGACCCGCAATTTTAACTCATATTCATGAGTTTCAAGAAATCCGATGGGGATGGGTTTCATATGAGGGTTAAAGGGTTGAACATAAAAAATAACATTTATATCCTTATATAACTCAAATAATCAAATAATTAAATATTCAAATACTTAAATATTAATCATATATTAAAATAATCAAATTTAATCAAATAATCAAATATTTATACTCCAAATAATCAATTATTTATACCTCAAATAATCAAATATTAAAATCATAAAGACACAAGAAAATATACATATATAAATATGAATTTGAATTAGATTGGTTAAGGGACATAATAGTCATTTATATCTAAATATATTATCATAATAGTGATGTATCCGTGTGCATACCAAATATGGGTATGAACGAGATTAAATATTGAACCTCATCTTTATAAATAAGGGTTTGAGTTTAGAAGGATTTAGACAATAATCATTTATATACAAATATATTATCATAATCATGATGCATCCGTGCACATACCAAATATATGTATGAAAGAGATTGAATATTGAACCTCATCTTTATAAATAGGGGTTTGGGTTTAGAAGAATTTGGACAAGTCAATCCAAACCCCTCCCAAAACACCAACCAAATTGGCCTTGATAGGTTTGGATAAATTTCTCTCGAGTCCCCTGACATTTAGCTTAATTATATGGATACCCTTCACATTTTCAAAATTACAAATAACCCAATCATAAGAAGGTATTAACAGTTTAATTCACTAGATAATTTTGCCCCTATTTGACTGGTCAAGGCTAAAAAAATAAAATAAAAACAAGAGTCAATTTTGTAAGTCTTTAGTCTAAATACAAACCCAATCCATGCCCAAAACCAAACCCTATCTTTTTCTCAAACGGAGACCAGATTCCCCACCCTCTTATCCAACGCAGAAACACCCCTCGCCCACCCCGCAGCAGCCTCGATCATCCCGCAGCGGCGTAGCCCCCCTCTCCACCCACTCCCTCCACAGGTGCAGCCAACCTCTCCCCTCACTAGGGGTGCAACTTGGGTTAGGCAACCCGATTTCAACTTGAGTCTAATCCGAAAAAATTAAGGCTCGGTCAAGAATTTTTAATACTTAGGTTGGGCTTGAGTCAAAAAATCATAACCCGAATTCAATTTGGGTTGGGCTCGGGTTAAGGTCTCGTGAACCCGAGTTCAATCCGAACCCGACAAATTAAAAAAAAAATTATATATATAAACCATTAGCACTGACTTTTCATTTTTGTTCTATCGTTTTATGTCTCTCTCGTTCTCTTTGCCTATCTCGTTCTCTCAGCCTCTCGTTTAAAACTTGGTCGAAGTTATTGGTTGTTGATTTAGGTAAATATTATGTAATATATGTATTAGGTTTAGAACAACAAGCCTTTTTTGGACTCTACCCGAATTGAAGACGTAAAGTAACTCGAAATCAGCCCGAAATTATCAACCCGAACCCGCCCGAATTAAACTCGGGCAGTGCTCGGGTTGAATTCCCCAACTCGAGGTAGGGTTAAGATTGAAGATTATATACCTAGGGTTGGGCTAGGGTTGATTGTCTAACCTATCAAACCCGCCTGAGTTTAGGGGTGTTCAAATTTTCAACCGGCCGCAATTTTCTACCTTACCCTACCCTAAAAATCGGCTGGCCGCAAAATCGGGTAGGAATGTGGAATAAATAAATATATATATATATATATATATATATATATATATATATATATATATATATATATATATAAAATAAAAAACCCTAATTGCTAACATTATACTCATCTATTCGAAGGCATCCTTTGAGAGGCGTCTCAGCCACAGTCCCACTGCTCCTCCTCAGCTCCTCCACTGTTAAGGACCTTCAACCTTCACTTCAGGTACTCTCTTTTTCTCTGTGTACGCGATCTGGACCGTCTGGTCTGATCGCATCGCGATTTTAGATCTGGTCTGGACCGTCTGATTTGATCGCGATCTCAGATCTGGTGTAGCCTGGACCATCTGATCTCAGATCTCAGAAAAGGTATCCGTGGTTCACTGCTTTAAGCAAGCTTCTGTGGGGGCTGGAGGTGATGCTTTCGGCTCCGACGTGGTTCTATGGATAACGTTTGGAACTCCAGGCTCAGATGGTGATGCTTTCGACTCCAAAAGTATCTATCAATGGTAAAGTCCAAAAGTAGTCTAAGGGCATAATAAGAGATGTTCCACAGCTACGTCTTTCTCTCCACAAATTGAACATGTAGGGTTTTGAGAGAGTTTACTTTCTCCATAGTGCCTATTTGGTTGCCAGTTCTCCATTTGTAACATTCTATAGAAAAGAATAAATTTTTTGAGGTGCTTTTAAGCCCCAAATCATTTTCCACAGAAAGATGAGCTTCTATAGAAAGATGAGCTTGCAGTTGTGTTATATTGATGGGGACCTGAAGATTGTTTCAACATGTGGTAGCCACTTCTCACTGTGTAGTAGCTTGAATTTGTATGGGACCATCTTAGAATATCCTGTTGCAGTGTTTTCTGCTAACAGAATTAGATTTGCAGCCACACATTTTGATCATATTGTGAATTAGATGATCTAAAAACTATTGTTTGAAAAATCACAAAATAAAATTAAACAAGTGATATACTTTTTTTAATTAAAAAATGCAGGTATTGGATCTTGTCCCTCAGCCTGGGGTTATCACCACTAGGCATCAGAGAAGTTTTTTTGGGTATTGTGGACTCTATTAGAATTTTACTGAATTTGTTGTTTTGAATTTATTATTTTGTTTTGTTAACAGATCCTTTCCTTATGGATGAAATTACTCCACAATCATTTGCTCAAGCTGATTCTAACAGTAACATCCAAGTTATTGATGACATTCAGATTGAGGGACAAGATACAAAAAAAAGATCTAGAGTTTGGGAGCATTTTGAAAAGATTGAAGCTGTAGATAAAGCTAAATGTAAGCATTGTAGTAAGATTTATAATTATCATGCAAGAAAAACAGGTACTTCATCCTTGCTTTATCATTTAGATCGTTGTAAATCTTATTTGGCGAGTGTGAATAAGAAGAACATATCTCAATTAAAGTTAATTGGTGCATTCAAAAAAGATTAAGATGGTGTTAGTAGTGACCTTAGTGTTGCTAAATTCAATGAAAAAAAAATTAGGGAGGCAATTGCTAAAATGATTATAGTGGATGAATTGCCGTTCCGGTGTGTTGAAAGAGAAGGGTTTAGAGACTTGATGAGGACGGTTGAACCTAGATTTCGTATACCTTCCCGTACCACTGTGATGAGGGATTATTTGCAATTATATATGATGGAGAAAGAAAAATTGAAGCATATGTTTGTCTCATCTAGTCAAAGGGTTTGTCTTACTACTGATACATGGACGTCTATTCAAAATCTAACTTATATGTCCTTAACTGCACATTTCATTGATAAAGATTGGAAGTTACACAAACGAATAATCTATTTTTTGAAAGTTCCCAATCATAAGGGTGTGACAATTAGAAGGGAAATTGAAGCATGCATGCTTGGGTGGGGGGTAGATAGCATATTTACTGTTACAGTGGATAATGCTACTTCTAATGATGATGCTCTTGATTATTTAAAGAGACGAACTAAGGATGGGAAGAACACTATCTTAGAAAATGAATTTATGCATGTTAGGTGTTGTGCACATATTTTAAATCTAATTGTCATGGAGGATTTGAAGGAAGTGAACACATCAATTTTGAAGGTACGAAATGCTGTTAAATATATGAAGTATTCTCCTTCAAGGCTTGACAAGTTTAAATCATGTGTTGAGAGACAAAAAATTGGTGAAAAATGTCTTTTTTGTCTTGATGTTCCAATGAGATGGAACTCTACATATTTGATGCTCAAAATTGCTGAACAGTACCAAGGTGCATTTGATTTGTTGCAAGAAGATGATGGGCAATTCGTAAGTCAATTAAGTGAGGGGATTGGTTTAGGGCCACCTACATTTGATGCTTGAGACATTGTTCGTGTGTTTATGAAATTTTTGAAACTTTTCTATGAAGTCACTTTGCGCATTTATGGATCATTGTATACCACATCTAACTTATTTTTTCAAGAACTTTCTATTGTGTATGATCATTTGCAAGGTTATTGTGAAGATGATGACTATCTTTTGAGTACCATGGCTATGAGAATGAAAAGCAAGTATGATAAGTATTGGGGTCATTTAGATAATATTAATTTGATGTTGTTTGTTGCTATTGTCCTTGACCTACGTTATAAATTGGATGCTTTAGAATTTTGGCTCAATGACAATTACAAGGCTGAGGATGAAGTAGTTAAGGTTCAATTTGTTGAAAAGATCAAAAGGGTCATTGACCGATTATGCTAACAGTACACTACCTTTAGTGTGGGGTGTGGAGTGGGGTCAAGTGTTGACCGTGAGAAAAATGTGTCTTCGCCTGAGATGTCTGTTCAAGATCAAGTACCTACAAATTTCATGAATAGGTACCGCAAGTATAGGGCTGAGAAAGGTAATGTGGACAACAAATCAGAGTTGGATCGATATTTGATAGAGGATGTTAACTTTGTTAGCGCCAATTTTGATATTTTGAATTGGTGGAAGGTTAATTCTTCTAAATTCCCAATCCTTGCCAAAATAGCTCGTGATGTGTTAGCTATTCTCATTTCTACGGTGGCATCAGAATCAACTTTTAGCACTGGGGGTCGTATTTTATATCCTTTTCGAAGTTGTCTGGCACCCAAAACAATTGAGGGTCGCATATGTGCACAAAATTGACTTCAATCGTCATCCATTGCTTATGACTTTGAAGATGTTTTGGATGATTCAGAAAGCTATAAACTAGATTCAGGTTTTTATACTTTTATTGTTATTTTTTTATTATTTGTTGATAAGTTCTTCGTATCTAATTTTTTTTCATACTCTTTTTTATCTCAGAAATAACTGTAGAAACAATTTCAATTTCTCTTGAGTGAAGAGAGGTGAATGACACTAGCAAAAAAGGTGCTATTTAACTTTTTTATATTTTTTTTAGTAATTATAAGAGTATTTGTTATTGTTGTGGATGTTTGAGTTGCTAAAATATTAATTTATGTTTTGTGTAAGTTACATAATTTGTGGTGAACTGGCACAGGCGAAGTAGTTATGATTTTAATGTATTTGTGTTTGTCTACCAATTATGGTGGATTGTATTTGTGTAACAATTATGGTGGATTGTATTTGTTTAACAATTATAGTGGATTGTATTTGTAACAATTATGGTAGATTGATAGCTAAAACAATTATAATTGTTGTTGTAATTGTTTTAGATTTTAGTATTATTGATTTATTGTGTTGTTAACATGGTACATGTTATTTAATTAAATTGTTAAAATGATTCAAAAATTAATAGTTACAAAAGTGTTTATCCGCCTTCCTACCCGATTAATCGGGTAGGAAATCGAGTAGGAATACTACACCTGATCGGGTAGGGTAGGGTAAGAAAAAATTCTTCCGCAAAGTATCGGGTAGGAATGCGGAATAATAAATTTTCTACCCGTAGAGTAGAGTGAACACCCCTACCTGAGTTGAACCCCTACCCCTCACACGCATCCCTTAGCAAGGCGACCCCAACCAAATCAACCTTCTTTATATTTTTGCCCTTACTATAACATAATCTTAGCTCTGTACCGTATTACATGCCTGTGTTGAACTTTTGTGACAAATGGAATTTTATTATTGATTAGTCTGGTATTTATTTTTCGGTAAAGTTGCAAATTTTTAAATCTAATTTTTAAATTCATCTAGCATTACTATATAATTTAATCATTACTCTATGATTTAATCATGATTAAACCAATGTCCATTTTTTAAAAACGAAACAAATTGTGTTTAACCGGATCCTAAGGGTTGATATCATTGTTCCTCTATATGAACTTTCGTCATGCCTTTTTATTTTTTGGGTAAGTATGATCTTTAGATGTTAAAATTAGCCAAGTTTGATAAAATGCCTCATGCTATATAGTATTAGTTTATGAGTAATGTTATTTATATCTAAAAATTTGACTTGATTTATTGATCTGATAATATATTTTTATTGAAACAATTAAATCAAAAGTAAGTTTCATTATTTTTATAGGGTCCACAATCGATATCAAGATCATAAAAAATCAAATCAACAAATAAAAATATTTTAAAATTCAAATAGCATTGCTCTTAGTTTATATAAAGAATATTTTATGGCATTAGTTTAAATGACACTACCTCATCGGGCTTGTGCTTTTAAGGTCATTAAGACTAAATTGATTCAAACCTGGTATTAAAGTGTCGTTAGATGAATACATTATATTAGTAGCATTAAAAAGACAAAAATTACTCTATATCAATAAAACACTCTTTGGCTATGATGGGTATTTGTGTCATTTTAGACATTATACTAGAGACGAAATAGTGATTAGGTGAGGGCCAAGACTTTTGGGCTTGTGCAAGCTAGCATGGGCCAATTTGACTTCAATGCAGCGTATTTCTTTGGGCTGCAAGGACCTGGGCTAATATGCGACACCAGCCCAGTGTAATTGGGTGTGGAGAGCCGAGACCAAGTATAATAGTGTGGTCAAAAGGTTTGCTTTGCCATAGAAAAATAGTTTTAATAGGTGGAGCTCCATCCCCTGTTGTACAGTATGGGTGTTCTTCTTATAAACAAATACTAATTTACACATAAAACATAATTTTACCTATAAATTGACGTGGTATAACGGAACACAACCCATACTGTACGGCGGACGAGCAGTGCCCGTTTGAGATGGTGTTTGTACCACCCATTGCCAAAAAGCTAGATGAGACCACGGGTAAGATAAAAGCGTCCTTATACATGAGTAAGGTCCATCTTGAAATAGTTTATGAAATTATTTAATTACTAGCAACTAGTTAACGACATCAATAGTCGTGGAAATTAAGGCCATAATACTTGTTATGCACCTCAAATGTGTGCATTTTTGTATCGTATTTTGTCATATAAAGCCGACACTACTGGTGGAAGATTATTGCAACAAGAACGTAGTTTTTCTTTGTTGATTTTTTCTTCAGATCATTGGCAACACATTTGTTCAGTCCTCTCATCCATATAACGTCTGAGTCCATGATATTTTAGGGTTCTCTCTCTCTCTCTCTCTCTCTCTCTCACAC